GCTGTAAGAGTCCCCCCCAAAAAATGATCTTTAAAAAGTAAAAAGAATATGAATTGAAACCTGAAGACTGCTCTCCACCCTTAATCCTTTCTTTTTAAAAATGTGTGATTTTGTGTAGAATATAGACATAAATAAGGAGTCCTAGTAGTGTAGTGACTTGGATGACAAACAGCAAGGTCAGTGGTTTGAACCTACCTGGCGCTCTGCAGGAGAAAGAAGATGCTGTCTCCTCCCATAAAGATTTACAGTTTCAGAAATCCAGGGGAGCAGCCCTATGGGTTGCTAGGCGTCAGAATGAACTCAATGGCAGTTACGGGGTTTTGTGTGTGTGTGTGTGTAGATATATATAGAACTCAGCAGCACTTATATGTGAAACTGTTCCTTGTTGCTCTGATTCAATTTAATTGATCACTAATCAGTTCTTCGGTTGCAAACACCCAATCGACAACCCCTACTTGCTCTTTAATGTTATATAAATTTGCTGTCACTTGGAAACAATTGAACCGATCCCTGCTTACGCAACACATTCTCCCTCATAATCACCCCTTCACTTGCTGCATACCGAAACAAAGCAACACATCTCACCATGACTGAGTCAGTTCTGACACATCGAGACCCTGTAGGGCAGAGGAGCCCCGACCTGTGGGTTTCTGAGGCTGCACGTCTTTGTGAGAGGAGAGCAGGGAGTCTCCTCTTTTTCTGCAGAGCACCTGGTAGGTTTGACTTGCTGACCATGTAGCTAGCAGACCAAATCATGGACAAGGCCCTAAGCCTTTTTTCTGCACTAAAAACCAAACCACTGCCATTGAGTCGATTTGGATTCACAGTGACATGAGTAAGGCCTGCACTGCAGTAAGGTTACCTGGGAGTCCTATACACCTGTGCTGACTCCCCCACCTCATACGGATCTCATTTGTAACTAGGGGACAGTTTGTATTTCAAGGTGTACTGCAAAGACCTGTGGTGTGTGAACAAGCTTGTACTCCCGAGAGTAGGGGGAGAGAGGCTCTGTACGTGTTGAAAGCTGGGGAGAAATGGGGAGTGAGTGAGTGACTGGAGTTTCCTAAAGGGACAAGCTTCAGCAAAGCATTTGACAGACTGGGCAGACTGGATCTTCCCAGTAGGGCAGAGCGAGCAGATTTTATTAACACACCCAGGTTTCTTGATAATGACTTCTTGATATAAAGTTCTCTCATCTACATCTGAGCATGACTGTATTTGCTTCTCTGGTCTACCTGGCCTAATACCCTATCTTCTAGGGTGCCACTGGTGGGACTGGAAGCCCTAACTTTTCAGCTAGCAGCTGAGCACATTAACAGAACCATTCATAGTTGATCATTTTAAGTAGTTAAGACATTTTCAATAATTTTGAACAAGCTCTAGATTTTTCAGTCACAAGCCGACTGTTGGAATGGGCCCTGGTGGTTGCTGGGTATGTGTTGGGCCGCTAACCACAAGGTCAGCAGTTCAAGCCAACCAGTGGTCCCATGGGAGAAAGACTTGGCTTTTCACTCTTGCAGAGTTACAGCCTTGGAAACGCATATGGGTAGTTCTACTCTGTCCTGCCTCCATTCCACCTTCTCTCCTGAGCTGTGTCCTGGGGCAATGCTGCCCCACTGATCCCAAACGTGTGATTATTCTAAAAGTGTGCCTGCCATACTGGTGTTAACATTCCCTGTATAAGACCCACTGCCATAGAGTTGATTCTGACTCACCGAGACCTTACATAGAAAGTTTCCCAGGCTGGAAATCTTTATGGAAGCAGATTGCTTCATCTTTCTCCCTTGGAATAGCTGGTGGGTTTGAACTACTGACCTTGCAGTTAAGCAGTCCAGAGCTTTCCCAAACAGGGCCATCAGAGCTTCTTATCCCTCATACAGACAGACCTGTCTATAGTTTGGTTGAAAATTGAGCCAGGAGGGTGAGTTCAGTTTCAAACCTCAAGGGGGACTTGAGGACCCTTCCTTGGGGGTTCTGCCAGTCCCTATCAGACCAGTGAAGCCTTCTGAATTTTCTTCCACCTTCCCCCGCCCCCCACTCTGTCCAGGACCTTCCAATGTGATCCTTTTCAGAGAAGTTGGTAGTGGTAGCTGGGCACCATCTAGTTCTTTTGGTCTCAGGGTCATAAAGACTGAGGCAGAGACCAATATTTTGCACCTTAGATAGCTGCTCACCA